CCCAGATCGCTGTCTCACGCCTTTCAGAAGCCTGGGATAAGATTGAGGAGCGCGCAAGCTTAATGCTACGCACTCGTACGGATATACGGGCTGCACGCGTAGGTGTGCTGAGGAGGCCTGAGATTCAGTCTAACAGATATCGATACGTGTTTGCATAACATCTGCCGCGTCGTATGCAATGCCGTTCCATGTGAAAACAATAGACCACGTGAGACCGATTACACCGCGCTATCTAATGGTACTATTCCTCACATGCGATTTTCTGTTATGGAAAGCGAATTATTCAACAAAGGAAAATATCACGCGTTCTTCTAGCACCTCGCTTTTATAGGTCGTGGCTTTCTTTCGCCCGATGATTTTTAAGATACGCAATTGACATTATCCTTGCCAAACCTTTAAACTGCAAAGAAATTTGTTGGAATCGAAGTTTATCTGTTTAATTACGCAGATAACTCCGATTGGTGTGTTACTAATTTCTATGTTTAAGTTGAACGATCGGAACAGATGCTTGAATTTATAATTTACCATTGCCGATAAATATCTTTCGACGTATAAATGCGCGTTCTATAAAATTAGCTCGAACTGGCAAACGACCGCTTGCGGCCGGTAGGTTGGTTTTCGTTCCGCTGAACAAGACGATTCGCTCGAACGAATAAACTATCGCCGCCGTATAAATACGGCCGAATATGTAAATCGTACGATTGCCATGAGCTTGTAGCATTTCCTTCTTTTTCCTTCTCCCTTGAGGTTAATTCGTATGCACGTACACTGGCAGGCACGGGTATACGTGCACGTAATCGAACTCGGCCTCGAGGTAATTATCGGGGTGTCGTAATGACCGATCGCCTTTCCCAACCGATCGGTGTCTACCGATCGTAGATGCCCTAATGAGTACGAGACACCGAGCATGCAACGACATATCGATGTTCGCCGGGTATTCCATCTCTTTGAGGGAAGACGCGTATCTATAGGCGATACATGTAGTACGATGATCGTGCTACTTGCTCACAAGATCGAGAAATCAGTGCCTTGTTTCTTAATATCGACGAAAGCTACGACACTGGTCGTCGCATAATTAAGTTGTCGGACAAAGGAGAGAACACGGTGCTCTGCTCGCAATCATGATGCATGAATGTCTCGTGTGCGTACATGGAAATCTATAAATATTATGGAACTTTATGTACGTGAGCCCAAAAGAGAGATCGCGTATCTTGTCTCTCGGACTTAATTAAAAAAATGACTCATTCGCATAATTAAGGTACCGAACAAAGTGTATGGCATTTTATTTATGGTGGCGGTGTACGCACGTCGTCGCACGTATCTATAAATGTTATAGTACTGCACGTACCGAGCGCTTGCGTGAATCATATCAATATCGTCGACAGAAAACACTCCTATCGAACTTCATAAAATATTGACGCATATTTCCGCGGGAGTATCAACACGCGGTGTAATTGATTTTCCGCAAATGGAGAGAAGTATAAATATATCGTATATAAAACTTCTATAGAGATTACTAAGCGAAGAACGACGTTACGGAATCTCGCTTAACCGCGACGTCCGTGAAACGGATGTACATGTAAATAGTAATAGTGAGCGAATAGTCAAACTTCTTCGTGAATCACGGCAAACGATTGAGGAAAAAAATTTTCTTATCGCATCTCGGTAATATCTTGGCAAATAAATACGTCGTTATTTTTAGCAGACGATGCGGCACTTGAGGATACAAGATTGTTTTTAAAAGCGTTTGCAGGGTGCTTCTTATCGAGTCCTCTCGGAATACCGGTGACTGTATTGATAAGCACTTGACTATTTATCTGGTACACAAAGTCATTGGTGCGTGATACGAGACGGCGCGGTGTGCTAGGGCGAATATACAACACCGGCCGTCAATTATCGTGATATACTAGTACGTAAATTGGCTACCAGTTAACCGATATTCTCTCATCCCAGTATAATAAATTACTCACGCCTTGTCCCGCGGCAGTAGCATCGGTAGGCGTGTAAGCGTATTTTAATCATTTGCGTCATAGTACTCCGATCGAATGCTATTATCTGCGCGCAAAATTTGCTGCTGATCGCTCGTCGTATTTATCTAATCATCTCTTAACATCATACAGCCACTAAATAAAAAACGTGAAGGACGCGATGATTTCTACTTCCAACGGAATAGCGGAGAGACTTGTGCATTTTTATTATTAAGAAAATCGTGAAGTATAATATTTGCAATACACACGATGTTTATTTTCTTCCTTTTATTGTTTACACGCGTTGTATTTTTAACCGATAACTATCTCTCTCCGTGTTCAATCCGCCTCGAGAAAAGAGAAACATGGATTACGAAAGGTGTTCGATATATGCGGTTACGTATGGTTGTTATTGAATGTAATTTTTAAGATCTCATATTCGCGTGCGTTACGCATTACTCTTCATCGGGCAGAAATTCGTTATTTGTATTAAAAATGAATCTCATTACCGTCGGCGGCTTAAAATTACAGGGTATATACGAGCCAGTAGAAACAGGCATTTATGAGATACATATTCGATCAATTTTGTAAAAATCGCGTGCATAAAATAGCAGCGCGTATTCGTATTTATTTGCACATATCGTCGTAAATTATGACATCAAATGATCGTAAAATAAAAAAATTATAATAATCATTACTATTATTTTACATAATTGCTTACACTTACGCTATACAAATATATCTGATTATATAATGTATTCACATGGCACGTTATAAAAATTGCAATGCGCAGTTAAGATTGATAAAATCTTATTTCACTCACGTCGTTCATTCTCGTTATACTTTTCGATTATATGGATATATTGATAATGCGATGATAGATTACACGTATGTCATTTCATCAATTATACGATTTAGAATTGCTATGTCATATGTCAGATAAGTTTTATCGTATATGTGAAACGATTTCTTTCTTGCGTCAGGAACATGTGCCAGAATATGATTTTACGGTAGAGCCCGCACGATTAGGTTTCGGGACACGAATTTTACTTTCGACCTTTCTTTCCTAACCGTTTCGTTACGGTAAAAAAACTTTCGTTCGATGTAAGCCGAGAAGCAATTTGCGCAAAACCCATCACGTCAATCTCCAAGGATGAAAGCAGGGCGCTTTTGAAATTGGGCGACCGAGTCGAAATGAGTTCCTCCGTGTCGCAAATCTTAAAGTGTCGCCCTTCCATTTACTTGATCGAGAAAAGATTAATGCACGCGCGCAACGCGATCATTATAGGAGATTATTCCACCATTTAGTTTTCTTTTCGATCGCAATAGCAACCACAAATCGAGAACATCTGGGGCTGTCCGTTAAGAATAATAATTTCGACGTTTTAGTGACGTGACTTCGTAAGTTCATGGACAGGATCTGACATTATGTGTTACATACGTTGTCATAAATATGGACGGGTTTAAATCGAGTACAATGTGAACGTAAGAACGACAGTGACGGCATTTCAATGTTGTGATCCGATTAAAGAAGGAAAATCAGTGCCACACAACTGCGTATGCTTTGGATTAAATCAAAGGGACTTTCGATCATGTGCTCAAAAATGATAAACGCCGGTGCGATGTCAATGTCGTGAATGTTAGATTCGTTTCGATGATCTCTATCCTCTATAACAGGAATGAAACATTCATAGGATAGATCGTGTTTTACGTGCTCGTAATTTCTATTTACACAAGACAGAACAGGAAAATAGATTTAGAGAAAGAGAGAGAGAGAGAGAAAGAGAGAGAGAGAAGAGGAGGGAGGGAGGGAGGGAGGGAGAGAGACAGAGAGAGAAGATTTTTACTATTACATTATTTTATAGCTACATTATTGCGTTTTGAAGAAAATTATTTAAGACCGAGTTCTTATTTTACATAAAAATATATAAATAATAAAATATTTAAATATTTATATACATAAAGAACATCATTAGGATTATATCGTATAATTAACGCGAGGATGCGTTGTTGGTGGTTTGTGTTGAATAGTTATGTTTTCATGCAATATTGCAACCGTTTCAAGGTATTCCGGTAGGAATTCTTGGTTTGCTTATGAAAGATACAGGAATCCGTGAGAAACTAATAGAACCGTAAAGGTACGTTGAGGAATTAAAATTCATGTAATACAATAGTAGCCGTATCCGGTCTCGATTAAACGGTTTTCATTACCGCTGAATTCTATGAGTTGCAAAGTCATATCTGTGATTTAATCAACATTACCGCAATTAATCATTGAGAAGATGTATGCATGCTATAACTATATAAATGGACAATAGAGCAATATTGTAATAGATATCTCTCAGAAATTTTTTGTACATGGTTTGCTAAGTCTCTCATTAGTTTATCTTCGTTTATGTAAATTGAATTGTAAGATATGTAAGAAAAAACTTTGTATTAAGCTAATTATGTTATAATGGTAAATGTTAGATAAGTGACAATCATAGAATTTATCTACTGTATTATCTATGTAATAATATTTTGAACACTGTGTTTTATATAATCACATTCTTAAAATACTTCTTATTTAATACTTTTAATATTTTATCTAAAATTATTTATTCAACTTAAAATTCTAAAAATATAAAGAACTTTACTTGATTCAACTTATCATGTTAAACATTTTAGAGATTTAAATATATGTGACATCATCTAATATTCACATGATATATATGCGCATGCTTATTTTGTTTGGAAACATTCCCACTTTTGATGCATGTATAAAAATTAATTATAAAATAAGAAAAACATCATTATAAAATTTGTTGATATTATAATATAATAAAAAAACTATTCAAAAATGAAATAATTCATTAGATATATTTCTATATTAAAAAATTTAAGAATTTGATAAACGTGTAATTTAAGACATCTTTTTTATTAGTGCGAATATCTTATCAAAACAGATAAGATATTTCTATTTTTTTTTAATTATCGATAGTACCATGAATTGGTTCCTCTTGTGCATCACTTGAAAATATTTTTTTGTTTCAGAAGCCAGTCTAAAGCTTCCTACTTGGCTTACAGACGAGAGCGTGGTGCTCCTGATAGCGAAGGCAGCTACAAGAGAACTATGTCACCAACCTCACGGATGGACGACTGGCCACCTCCTAGGGATCACGACGATCCTGTACTTTTACGTGTTACACCGAATCATCAATTACAACAACATCACCATCATCACAACAATCATCATCAACAACATTCTGATTTCTCCAAATCGCACAGCGTGGACGCTCTTCATCATCGATTGGAGGACAGGTGTTCTCAACAGCAGCAACATTCGGCAGAGGTGGTCAGTAAACTCTCGCACGATCTCAGCAAAAAGCTTCAGGCCAGCGACGTGAGATCTCGCACTAATGAAAACAACAACAACGACACCGAGGACCGACATCAACATCATCATCATCATTATCAAGAAAAGAGGCATCCGGAAAAAAGACACGACTACGAGCAACGCAGAGAAAGACTATCGCCGCAGAGCGTGGAGGTTCTTAATGACAGGAACAGGCAGCTAGAGCGGGAACGTCGGAAGTTGGCAGCGAGCTGCGAGCCCCTATCTCAAAATAGAGAGGTGAGATCTCCGGATATTTATCTTCTAATAATGATATTTACGTGTATATTTTTCGCATCTCAATGGTCTATCTATTTTTGCACCTGTAAATATAGCAGTGTCAAGGACGCGCGAATTCAGTTTATGCTTTTCTAACATTCAGTTTCTTGCCGAGCTTGCATAAGATATGTTCGACACTCCGGCATTTATTTCGTTATTGTCATTCGAATAATTTAATATTATTCGATCTCTTCAATTTATGTGCTTCATACGATTACGTCTTTTTAAAGTTTAAAATTTTCTATCATTTTATATCGTATTTATTGTGATGTATTACTTATTGTGTTGTTATTTTTGATTTTTTTTTTGCAAGATTTGCAATTTATGAGATTTGAACAATTCCTTTCAGAAGCAGCTACGAGAAATTAATGGCCCGCTCCCAATCACCAGCGATGACTTTTTCCGCGAGAGAAGCGCCACGATCGAGATGACTTCGCAGAATATTGAATTACTAAATCGCCGTAATGAAAAAAAAATGAGTGGTGTATCAACGTCAAATAACACATTATCCACGTACTCTATCAGTACCACAACATCGTCAGTGGCCTCGAATTATGACAACGGCTGGTCTAGAAAACACGAAACGCAGAGCTCGATAGAAGCTACTATCTTTTCCGATAGGCCACCACCACCGACAAGTTCACCACCGAGATCACCGAATATTATCGAGACTGCAAGTCCACGAGGAGCTGTTCCGAGACGATCTGGAAGTTGTTCGAGTACTTCTTCCTCAGGAAAGTCGATAGATGTTCGTGTCTCGCCTCGAGCTTTGCTATCCAGATCGCCTCCCAAGAATTCTTTCGATTCTCTCACGCGGAACGAAGCCCGAATAGAATACGCCTCTAACAGAAAAGTTTCCAGTCCGACTCAAACGGATAACACAGGTTCCTGGAACAGATCCAACTCGCCGAGCCAGCTGAGTCAAATGAGTGATACGGATTCGCGTGTCGAAAGACTTTCCGCGTCTTCGAAATTCAGATCTGGCGGCAGATCATCCACGTCTTCGATCTCAAGCGTTTCCAAAGCGTCCTCTTCTTCCTCCCCGAGGAATTCGCCGGTTGAGGAGGACAAGTTGTCGCCGAGGTCGTCGCTTTGCGTGTCACCTCAACCGGGCATAGAAGGATTGACGTTAGTACAACGTACCGAGATCGTGCTCCGGGTGAACGCGGCTACCAGCGATGCCGCCTCGCAAACGGACATCTTGGAAGATACGGAGCAAGATTGCGTCAGCAAGATTCAGCGGCCGCTTCCGGAATCTAGGAAGAAATTACCGGAGGAGATCGAGTGCGAGGAGCTCAGCAAGGATTTAGCCAGTCAACTCAATCCCAACGACAAACTGGTGCCCATACTCGGTGAGTATATTCTTTATCGTTACCTTTTATCGTTCTGTCTCAATCACATGAGTAATGACTTCTGAAGAGCGTCGTTCATCTGGCGATTTTATTATTTGCTCCACGTCGCCATTAATACACGCCAATGGAATTGATTCAGTTAGATACGATGTTCAATTTTTGAATGGCATTCGCTAATGCAGATCTCGCTAACATATATACGATATACCTAGCCCTCGTTACACTTATACTGTCGCATGCGGTTTTTATGCACACGTGTATGTAGCTTCACTCTGACACTCGCGCGCGCGCAATTATCATCTGGGACACGGTAGAGTCAAGCATTCGAGGGCAATAAACCCTCTGTTTTAATAAGCTCTAACTTAATCAACGACACGACACTGCCTTATTCAATTATATGCCGTCGCCGCCGCTGCCGCCGCGATATTCGATGCAATCCCCTGTCGCATTATGGCTTCCGTAAGGACGCGGAGATCCCTGGAGCGTGAAACGAAGTGTGCGAGGAGGGAAACGCGCCTACCGAGAATGCCTGATGATGTCCCTTTTTTTTTTTGCTTCTTATCAGTTCCAGCGCCGGAGCACAAGAAACCCACCGACTACGTTTCCGGTCTGTTCAGGGTGGAGGCGACCTTGCAGCCACGAACAAGGCAACGGCTCTCCCTGGAAGAGTCAACGGCCTCCTGCAGCGAAGATGCGGACATGGACGATAAAAAGTGAGTTTTTCTTATTCTCATTTCTTCCTGCTCCTTTTCTTTTCGGCTGAGGTTTACTTAATTAAGGCTTATTTATCAGGCAGCTCACGCCGCTCCGATATCACGCACGTTGTCTTCATCCAGCCGTGCGTCCGTAAGGGTCAGCAAGATTGTTGTTACGGACGAGGCAGATAGGACAGAGTAAATATAGACCAAACGCGATAATTGATAGTTTTCACGTGCTCGCGAGCATTGGATTACGTGCTATTAATCAACTCGAATGCCATGGCATACGAAGGCGTTCATTACAAGTGCAAATTCGCGATTCTCTTTACTCGACTTAATTGGTCGACGTCTAGGAAGCACCATATAATCTTAATAAACAAGAGTAGAAGCTTCATTTGCTCATTTTTGCAACTGTCATTTGAGTTTCTTTAATCCCGCATTCGCACTCTGTGTGGGCCGCCACTGCAAGTAAAATAAATCTGCGGATCTTTTTAGAAGAAACGCCAGATGTATCTGTTCTTCGCATAATATTTCGTGCGAAAAGAAGACGGCACGCGTCTAAAGATATCTCGTTTAACCAGACGCATGTAGGGATTCTTTATTATCCGATGACGTTCGCGTGGGCGTAGACGGCAAAATTCTTGACAGTCGTTAATGAACTTTCATTGCTGTCTGGTTTTAATTGTTGTTTTTCAACGATGATAAACGTCGGAGTTTAACAAACCGACAGCAGCAGCAGATGGGAATGTCTTGTACAAACATACAAGTGCAGATGGTTCTTTTCTTTTCTTCGTGTAATCTTATCCCTTTCATTCTTGCTTCCGCTTTTTATTCTTTGTTGATTCCAGATATATCTTACGCACGAATTATCATATCGCAAAAACATCTTTTTATATATTCAAGTATTTATTGTCGATATGTTCATATTATCGCAATGCACTTCACGATTACTGTCTATTGTTATTTATTTTTTCTGACGTTGCGATTTTTCCCTTTTTCGTCGATCCGGTCTTTCTTGCGCGCTCACGGACAATACTTCCTCCGTGCTCGAAGAGAAAGTGCCAAAGCATCGAGACTGTTACGTAATCCGCCATAAATGATATTGTCAAGCCCAACTACTCAGTGCTTGTTCTCTACGCATCATATTATTTGCCAGTCTCCAACATATGGCTGAAAGTGACGCGTCGTCTTAGAAGAGTGCTCGGCGTACTTGTAACAAGTCGAACGGGAAATGGAAATGGGGCCTTCGGAAGAGTAGATACAATCTCACAGATTTTATTTCATTCAGTCTTAAGCGGTGATATCGAAAAATTCTCGTGTGCCACATAACGACTTGTAAATTAAAATTTCACGTGCGAACAAATTGTGTTCAAGGGAACGCAATAAAATCTTTGCTTACACATTGACCGAAAATCACGAGAGAGGGACGTAACACGTTACGTTAAATTAGTTTTAGCCGTATGCGTGTACTTTCTACCATATTTTACAAGAAAGAAGAATTGGCACTTTCGAAAGCAATTTTAAATAGCAGTAAAAATCGCGACAATTTCGTATGGAGATACGGCGTAAACATGCAAAGGATTGAAAGGATAATTACGTTGGAATCCGCTTCCGCTTCTTAGCTGTGGTATTTTATTTTTAACTGGTCTCGGACATAAACAAATCACACAATCGAACGACTTTTTCTTAAATAACGCGCGATTCAATACAGCTCGCTTTCCTTTCTTTATCACTTTCACCTCTTTTATAGACTCGCCTAGAAATACAAGATCGCGCATGCTGTCGTCTAACTGATAACAATCATAACTGGATTATGGACTACGGTGAATCAACATTTTATTTTATTGAACGTTTCCTATCCATGAACTTGAACATTTATCTAGTATCACGCGTATGACTCCATTACTCATCGCGGACGTTGAGATTACGAAAATAAACCGTGAATTCTATGCCGCAGAATATTCCTTTGCATCCGCTTACAAATCATTCTGTCTCTCCTGCCTCGTCTCAAAAACGTGGAGATTAATTCAATCGTGACTCACGTTCATTGACGCAATTTCTTGCCCTCTCGCAACGATGACAATTATAGGAATATCTCTGCATAAACGCCGCGAGAAAGAGAGAGAGAGAGAGAGAGAGAGAGA